GTCACATAATATTTTTTTTCCCTCCTCTAGTCATAGTTTCTTTCAAGTCTCCTAAATCAGTATGGATTAAACTTAACAATTCAGATTCTCTAAACACAGAGGCACATGATTTCTTAGTTTGTTTAGCTTCTGCACAAACTTCACACTTATCAATATTTGAAAAATTAATATTTGAAATAAGACCTTCGGAATACATTTTCTTAATATAAGATAAACTAACATGTCCTAATCTACCATGCCATAAATTAAAAGAGTCAATCAAATAAGCAGAAGTACTAGCATTTTCATTCATAACATTGAGTACAAACAATCCATGGTTATAATAACCCTTGCCAATAAAATTATTATTCTTGGTCAACACAACCTTATCAGATTCAAAAGAAACCTTCACCCCCACTTTTTCTAATAATCCCACAGAGACCAAATTGACTCGGATACTAGGAACATGCAACACGTCATTCAATGCCATAGTTTTTCCAGATATGATTTTGAGAAGAACTTTGCTTTTTCCAAGAACTTGAGTAGTTCTTGAGTCACCAAGTTAGACAACTTTTTCTCCCTCCTCAACTTGGGTGTAAGACATAAAGTCTTTTTTATTAGCACATATGTGCCTAGTGGCACCCGAATCTAACACTCAATCTTTTACATTTGCCACAAGGTTCACTTGGGAAACAACCGCAACAATTATATCATCCACTTTGCCTTCAGTCAAATTTATTTTAGCCTTAGTGGGATTGTCATTCCCAACCCTTTTTCGGCATTGAGCAACACAGTGGCCAGGTTTGCCACACACAAAGGAGTTGCCTTTTTTCTTGAAGGTTTGATTGTTGGTTTTGGACTTATAACTATTTCTTTTGTCATACCTGTTACTTGATTTTCTCTGACGGATGTTGTCCTCCACAAGACTACTTCTAGTAGCAATTTCTTTTCTTTTGTCAACAACAGCTTGCTTGCGGTTAAAATTATCTCCACCAAAGACCTCAATTTTCGAAACATCAGGAAAAAGTTTGACATAGATAATTGGTGATGGAACAACAACAGAAACAGTTGGTGCAGCAGGTGTAGTAGCATCAACAACAACATTAGCAGCGTTATTCTCCATAATAACTACGTGAAAATATCCTTAAGATTGTTGGAAAAATTTGATGATTATGGAGAATAAAAGGTTTAGCTTGAGGCGTGTCAAAGATACTGTCCTTAAGGATATTTCGCTCATACCGTGATGAATAAAATTAGGCGTATCCCCAGGATTCAACAAGCTCTTCTAATATAACTAGGAGCAGAAATAACAAAGATTAAGAAAAAAAAACCAGCACAAAAGAAAAGGGAAGAAAAGTTTTAACTTTATTTTTTCCACTCATCTCTAAAGATGAAAACCAACAAAGTATATATAATCAGAAAAACTTCACAATCTAATTGAAGAATACGTTAAATCCCAAAAATAAGCCATAAAGGCTTTTCTGTTCCATAAAGGCCTCTGTTATAAAGGTAAGCATTAAAGCCTTCTGTTTTCAAAAAAATGTTCTTTCAAATGGTGAACTCAAATTTCAAAGCTACTGAACGTTTCTTTCAACAAGTAACGTTCTTAATCCATAAGAACAATACGTTAACAATTGATAATAACGTAAAATAATTATCAATTAATTGTCTGATTTTGTTAGTCAAAAATTAAATTCAGAATTATCAAATTAGTGTTACAAATAACTATTATAATAATGACACATTAATATAATAGTAAGTAAATAAATCTAGTCATAATTTTAGAATATTTCTTTTCGAGATATCATAATTATTTTTTTCTATCAAATAGTACTTAAAAATGACTATATAAGAGAAGCAGAATATATGGGTTCAAGTTTTTTAAGTTGGTAAGGTGTACCTCTCAATACCAAATTACCAGTCTCGTGTTTTTTTTTTTTTCAAAAAAAATGGCTTTGGTAATGACCACTAGTACGCCTGATGAGCCCGTGAACAAATGATCAGTGTGGAAATAATTGGTAGTTCTCTTCGTTAATTATAGGCGTAATGACTTCCTGCCACTTAAACTTGTAAGGCTTTTGAAAGTCGATACACAAACTTTGGACTTTCCCATTTGAACACTCAAACTCGTGAAACCCTTAACTAATAAGCACATTTGACCCTTGACCTTACGCGCGTGTATTACACATTCACAGACGTGTCCATCCAGTCAGCAAATGACCAATGGAATTGTTACACGTCAAGGGCGCGAATAAATTTATTAATTTCTACTTTTTCTTCTATTTTCCTTAGTTTCTTCTTCACCATAGCTGTGCAACTTTTACATGACGGGGACGGAGCAAAACAACGTCACCAAACCCAGCCACCATAGCTGTGCAACTTTTATCTGAAACATTGGTTGCAGCAATTGAATGGATGGTAGAGGAAAATAAGGCTTCATTTTGCAAAGATGAACTTCCCTTAGAAGGAACGGGACACAATAATGGATTCATTTTGCAAAGATTCGTTTCACATCACTATGAAGGGTGGAGACTAAGATTATAAGGGAAATCTATCTAGCACTGCAAGTCGGGCCTAATGAGTTCCCGATCCTATTCTAAGTGACGAATATATCATCGATATAGAATTTTTTTTGGGGAGGCCGTGAGATCATATGGCAGGAGAAGTTCCATCCACTCTGAACCAGTATGTGAAATTTGAGTGGGATTATCAGGAGGTCATGGTTCATGGAGAACTTAGTCATCCCATCTATTCTGAACACTTGATCCCTATCATTGAAGAGATTTAAAAGTTTGATGGAGCTACTTTTCATGAAACCGGCGGAATAAGGCAGAGTCAATAAACCCAGGCACCATTTTCTTCTTCTTTTTTGGTTTTCCTTATAGTTTTTGTTTATTTTTTTTAATTTTACAATCTTTTTAATGAATAATAATAAATACACGCGCCAATTGAATGTGACTTGTACGCATTATGTCCACGTAAGATAAACTACGCCACATAAACATAGTCAATGGTCAAAGGTGTTTACTAGTTGTAGGTTTCACGAGTTTGAGTGTTTAAATGAGAAAGACGAAAGTTTGTGTATCGGCTTTCAAAAACCCTACAAATTTAAGTGGCCACGAAGCCATTTCGCCTTTAATTATAGATTGATAACTTGAACAAGGTGATGAGTATCTTGCTATAACTTTTTTACATTATTAGCGCATATAGCTTAAATTGTTTTTTTTTTCATTTTTGGCCCGACTGTCCAAAATAATTACATGTGGTAGCCCAAAACATACAAACTATATATATTAATTTTCTATATAATATGTATATTTATACTTAATATAAAAAATATATATATATATTTGCCGGCTGTTATTTTTTTCGTCGGTCCAAGAATATAATTATCCCGCTTAAATTTCGAGACATTTTTGCTGATGGCCCTTAATTATAGCATGAGCAACCTCAATCATCATATTTAGATACCAATATGTAGAAGCTTCTGGAATATTCGCCTTGTAAAGTGTTACTGATGAGAATATTTTGTGTGCTTTTCTAAATCCTAATGATGCATGCATTTGGGATAAATATTTTTCAATTCTATAAATCTAAGACTTTTAAGGACTCATGAGATGGTGATTTGTCACTTAGCAGCACATTATATTTTAGTTGATGGATGCTTTAAACTTCTCTAAAAAAATCTCTGGCCATGCAATATTTTTTTAGTTTTTGACTTTTGCTCATTGTATTTGGGATCTCACTGATTAATTTACAAGGGGACCAAATAACGTAGTTGTAAGCTCATAGATCCATGCTTTTAATTGTCCTACCACTCCTCTCTCTCTCTCTCTCTCAAGTTCAAATGAGCATTTCAATAAGAATACCGCTGTTTCTTTGTCAAACCACTCAAAATTTAATAATCTTATCAATTAGAAATTACGGAATCTAAATCCAAAGATATTACATTTGATAATTAAGTCTTACGTTGTATGCACTTATAATTGTATAGATATACTAAACCACTCATTGCCTGCAAATTCTTCTAATTTGCAACTATTTCAACTTATTTTGGTCAACCACAGATCATGAATTTCTATCAAAATTAAAGCTCAGAACTATTAATGTAACAACTGGATATTACACCCAAACCAACTAATTATATTAACTTAATAAACGGAACTATAATAACCAAATAGCAATACAATAGTAGAAAACAACACTAAAGAAAATAGAGAGTAGATGAGAAGAGAAATTGCAACCTAAAGCTAAGAAGAAAGGGGATGAGAAACAAGTTCAGCAGAGGAGATGAGAAGAACATATATACTGAGCCGAGGCTTCAACATAATTCGCATTCCTGTATCTCCCCCTGGATCCCAAATATAACGCCCTAGCATTCCATTCGGGTGTTTAGTCATTGGGCTTCTTCTCACTTTAACTTATGGCCCAAATTTCTCAACTGGATCAGCGTCGTTTGACATTTCTGGCCCATAATCCCTTCCTGACTCAACTTGGTTCAGGACAATTACGCACTAAATAGTAAATACAACTACCACATGAACTATCATGTCATCTAATTTTAAACCTTTTCATTGTAAGTTCCGAGTTTTGAAGCTCCTCAATTATCGTGAGACTATATGGTATAGTTCACAATGAATGGCTATACGTTTATAAACCTATGTACCGATAAGAGATCAATATCGATCAATATAAAAAATAAGATCTAACTTCTTTGTGATATGAAGGGACCACGAGAAAAATATACATCAGATAACAAGATTGCACAAGTCAGAAGACTTGCTAATAGAACGCATAAAAGTTTCCTTCGAGAAGTTCTAAACTGGAGACTAGTTGCAAATGTTACAATTGCAGAACTTTTTTCTTAAACTAATACTACCTCCGGGGGCGGAGCTAGCTCTTGAGTTGCGGTACGGCCAACCCAAACTCAATAGCTTTGGTCAAAATCCTGATATGCCTTAAGAAATCAATGGAATATGTACAAATTATTAATACAGAGCTCAGTGACTTATCCGAACCCATAAGCTTCAAATTCTGGCTTCACCTTTGAGTATATCGTACATAACTGCCGATGCATTGTCATATTCTACAAATTTTGCCCAGACAAAGAACAGGCACCATTGTCACTAGGTAAATATTACAAATTTTTAAATACTATCATGAAAAGCATCTTACATACATTAGTCGGCCTCAAGGCACATTGCAAGTAGACTTGCTTGAACTACACTAATAAAGACTTCATGTCCAGATGGCATTTGTTAAAGCTAAGTAGACCTACTATACAATTTGTTAGGAAAATAGAAGGCATCGTTCTTTTAAAGCTCACTCGAATAGAGGCACTCATCAACAAGCTGGCGAAGATTTGGGTTCTCCATGGCAGCAGCAACCCGTTCTTTATCATTCAACTGCTTATTAACTGCAAGAGAATGGTAATAAAAAATGTTTTAAGATTGAAGTGTCTTACTTAAGAAGCTGTATCAATTCTAGAAGTTCCAAAGCCCAGAGAAGAATCCTATTCGGTGCTACATTGGCATACATCAGGAAACATAAATACTACTTTCCGATGCTCCAGCATTTGCTCTGTCGTCCCAGAATCAGCATGCCATAGACAACCGCACAGAGCTTATATGATTTTCCTTGGGGATTGAATAGAACTAATAGAATGCATTTTGCATGTTAACTTATCATGGCCTGTTTTGACTTCGCGAACAGACTCACTAGTCCGTGTTTTCAACTCAGCGGAGAAGGTAGTAAGTCATAACACAAGAATAGAAAGATTTGTCAACCCCCAATATCAGATCATATTACAAATTGGAAGCATCCGTGTTTAATGATTCAATGAAGCCAATAACAGATGAATTCAGTCAAGACTTGTATTGCAGCAATTAAAAGCTGAATTTCCACCAATAAAATTTAAAAAGTCAAATTCAAAAAAATAATTAGGTACTCTAAATTAACTCTACCTGAGTCTTCATCCGCATGAGATCCAGGAGCCACTTTTATATCAACCTGTCACACCACAAAAATAAGCACGTCAGAGGAAATCAAACATAGAAGTTGTACAGATCTGAATCACTACAGCGGTGCACCTTGTCATAGAAGTCAATCTTAGAATAGCTTAATTATCTTCCAGGAACTCATCGAATGCAGCGAACATAATTTGAGGAGAGCTTTTAATATATATAATAAAAGCAATCATTAACAATGACCTATCATTGTATTTTGTTTTGTTTATCATGTTTTTATTAAAAGCTGAGAGTCCTAATTATGTGAAAAGCTCTAACGAGGTTTCAGAACTCCTATTATTAGTAAGATCTTATATACTTTGTGTAGACCACTTGAAACTTGGGGATGAACTTTATGAATAGATCTCTCTATCTCCCCTTTAGCTTTCTTTATAATCTTCTTGAGAAGGTAAGAATCTCTCTTCTTCACCTGCTCACTCCCTGTCTGATTTCTTCCTCTTAACCGTCTCCAATCTTTTTTCTGATAACCGTGATGTCTGGACTAGCTTGCGCACACCTCGACTAATTCCACGAGGTCTAGCTACCTCCCAAATCAGATACCAGGTCTCTTAACTCTCTGCAATCTCATTTTTTCGTACTACATCAACCTTTGGTGTCAATGTCCATGTTCTTTTTCCTACTCATGATCAACTCTTAAACCCATCAGCTAACCCGAAAATATAAAGTGAAATAATTCAAAAGTTTTACTAGATTAAGATTTCATCAAATTTATTATCATCTCTTTGATGTCTCAGCTCTTTATCTCCGTCTCTGTAGAACCCTGGTCAAGAATGAAGATTTCAGTATTATGCTTGCTTGCCATTGATTGTCAGATATATTCTTCCTCCTACATAGGTGGTTTGAACATATACATGAATAAGTGGAAGGATCAACCACCGTATGATAATCAACGAGGATAACTTTTACTTCATTAATCTGGATCTTTTGTGGTTGCACCAACTTTCCACTTACTGGAATTTGGAGTCGAATTTTCCTAGGGAATGATTTAGATGAAAGATATCATTATCAATATTTTGTGTCGTTATCTTTGATTCTATTTACAATCATCCTTCAACTAAAGCTAAGTTCTTATACATTAGTTAGAGATAGTTTAATCTGTTCATTAGAGACAATACGAGTTCTAAATTGTAGATCCTCCTTATCCTATTAGGAAACAAAAGCATGTTACAACAACAACAACAACAACAACATACCCAGTAAAATCTCACTAGGAGAAGAAACAATTTAAACTTTTCAGAAGGTAAACATGATAAAGTACATGTACAAATTATCAGGTCAGCTAATTGATCTAGAAGGAACAACAATAACAAGATACCCAGTATTATCACACACCGTAGGGTCTGGGGGAGGGTAGTGCGTACGCAGACTTTACCCCTACCTTGTGAGGAAAGAGAGGTTGTTTCCAATAGACCCTTGGCTCAGGAAAGCATAAGCACCACATTAATTAAAATATAGACAAGAAGAAACAGTACCAAAAAGCCATATAAAAGCAGAATAAAAACAACAAGATAGTAAGGTGATCAACAATGAAAGAAAACAACGGTTAGTCATAAAAATCTACTACTAACAGAAAGCGAGACTGCGTGCCAATACTACTGTTATGAACACTCTAGACTACCTACTCTACAACTAAAGTTTTGTGGGACGTCTAGACTTCTTAGGATTTATAAGGAAAATTATAATACAAATTCTTAATCACAGAAGCGAGACTTTGAAATATTTAGATGAGAGTAAAAGTAATTTTTTTGTTCTTCTTGCAAGTATTTATTGCAGGATGCTCCTTGACAGTAGAATTATACCAGTATGCTCTTTCCCAGACCATATTACCCTGCTCAATTGAATCCATACACTCCTTTACTCGTTAAAATAAGCAGTCCTCTGCTAAGCATATACGAGATGTTTCAGGAAAGTCTTTAAAAAAAAATTACTCAGACTAGTTAAGTCAAATAGACTACCGGGAACACCCAATACATGACAGAACCTTTACTGCAATCTAAGTCGGATTAAGGAACACCACCTTGAAATGAGGAGAGAAGCAATTCTTCAACTTCTCTCTCAAACAAAGGCCAATCACAGTTGCCATGCTACAGTGCTGGATGGTTGGGGTGAAAGTAATCCTATGAACAACAAAAAAAGGAAGATAAACAACTGACATGAGTAAGGAAAGTTAGGAATTATTTGTTACTAGTTTATTGCTTTTTCTTAAGGTTTTTTACAAAACATGGTAGATAGCATCCATTTAATATCCATGGAGATTAGCTGGTTCTTAACATATATCGGATTGAAAAGAGTGATGATTTCACAGGTAAAAGATGGCAAAGAATCATTGCAGACAACTCCATTGTGTCTATCTATTACGGACATTTTGCTGAAAAAGGAAAAAACAGCTTTTTAAGCGAGAGTCCAATTTATAAAGTTAAAAGTTGCTTTTCTGTTATTTCTTCTTGATTGACAAGAGTGCTCATCATAAAAGCATATTCATATAGCAAACCTTCTAGTAAATTCTTAGGTACCTAGGATATTTGCTACTCACGTTAGTGAGCCAGGTAAGTTTTAACAGGAATGATTAAGCATGTTAGAAATCATTGCACATAAGTATGTATGTTCTGGTAAATGTGTTGTCAAATAATTCTAGATAGTGCAAAGTGAACTAGAATCGAGCAACCAAGCTTAACTCAGGATACATGGAATCAAATTACAGGCCTGCTAAAGTGAAATCAGGTAGGTGAAACTCCGTCCGAAAATGTTAACTCAATGGAGTCTGAACTCCAATCAAATATATGGCTTAATGGTTCACCTCTAAACAATGAGCCCAAAAATCTGACTCCAAAAATACACGGGATTTTCAATATTGATTAAAATATCAATCGCCATTGGCCAACCAGTGAAGATAAATTATATGACTAACTCGAATTTTACATGAGTCACCAATCAGTTAACTGAACACGATATGGATAAAATTTTCCATTTTCCCCCCTTATACATATATACAGATAAAGCAATCTATATGTCCGCCCTTACTTATCAACAAAAAGAATACACAAGCAATATGTTTTTCTTTGGATAATAATAATAAATAAACAAGCAGATTTAAGCAGATAAGGTCATAAGTCAGTATTGAACATACAGAATGCGTCCAAGCTTCTCGTCAACAGTAATGGACTCTTCGGAGAGTACACTCAGCTGCTCTAATGAATACGGATGCTCTGGATCTCTTATATCCCTCACGAAATGTATTAAAAATTTTCAAAATCAAGGATCACTTCGAATTCAACCACAGTAAATTGATAAATAATTAAATCACACGAAAATATCCGTAAATCCAAATTAAGATACTCAATCAAAAGAAAACAGAAACCTAAATCAGCTTACTGCATCAAAATACCCGATTTCTCTTTTTCTTCTTATACTCTTTGTAGAAAAACGACGTAGTTTGAAATACTAGCAGTTACAAGAGGATCATACTAAATTCAGAGACAATTGAACTATGAAAATTCATCATTTAAATTTCATATGAAAAAGTAAAATAAACATACTAAATAAAATAGCTACTTAATGTTATTTTCTTCCAAGTAGAAAATTTCAAACCAAAACGACGTAGTCAGGCAGGAGCTCGGGGGAAAAGGATATCATAAATGTCGAGAGCATCAACGGCGTGATGATCTTCAGGGCGAGCGATCCTCTCCTTTTTGGCGTGAACCACTGGATTTGCATTTATCAGTCCCAAAGTCATCTCCTTTTCTCTGAAATACTGAAGCTATACATACAGATATAGAAGAAGAGAAGAGAGTTAGTTAAATACTCCATCGCCTAACAAAGTTCACGGACTGTTTGTCTCGCTACTCGTCAAATTAGCGGTGCATTTTCTAGTCAAAAAGTTGTCCACTAGTGGCGGCACACGTAACATTCGTGCCGCTTAATCCTTGTAAAGATTATTTTAGTCCACTATAAATAAATAACTGTTTATATCATAATCCATTAAATTACATTAATAGTGGATTAACATGTAAGATTCACAAAGTAGTTATTTCTTTTCTCCTAGTTTGCCTAAAACATATTCAATCTGTTTGTGACATATTTTTTTATTAGTTCATTCAAAAAAAATAATATATATAATCCCCACTATTATACATATCACGATATAGTATAGTTATAGATTTTTTTTCCATCTCGTTTTTTAACGAATACATCTTTACATATTCATCAATTAAAGATATATCTTTCGTTACAATAGTTATATGACAGGTCGATCTACGTCCTCGAGCTCGAGGTTTTAATTTTATATTTAAAAATAATTTAACTTTAAAATTTTCAATTTATACTTAATGTAAAGCTTTTATAGTCTGACAAATATTATTAATCCCACAAAACTTTTACACTTTAAGTTTTTAGTATCATAATTTTTTTTTTCTTAAACTCCATGCGAATCAAACTATCTCATATAAATTAAAACGAAAAAAATATAAGTAACAAGCGACTAAGTTTCCAATTGTGTAATCAAACTCTTCTTAAATTAAGAGAGGGTGTGACTGTGAGGAATTGTTTTAATGGTTCACTTTATTTGGAACAAATCACGAAAATCAAGTTGACATCTCAGCAGCGACAAAATACATAATGATATAAATAGAATTCTATTTAAGGTGAATGTATATATTTAGAGAGATTCTAGAGGTTATTAGTTGGGGCTAAGTCATTCTTTCCCTAAATAGAGGGTTCTATTCCATTGTAATTCATCCCAAAATCAATAAGAATTCTCTCTCCCTACTTTTCTTTGTAATTCTTTTTCTTTTATGTTTCATAACACGTTATCAGCACGAGACTCTAACCAATTGAGTAGAAGTTTTGGAATTAGGCATAATGATTGTCAATTGTTTCATGAACTTACTTCAGAATTAAATTCTGGATTTAAGGTAAGTATTTTATTTATTTTTCTCCTTTAAATTCTTAACATTCTATAATTTGATTTTAAATACAAGCAAAGAAAATAAATTTTGATTATAACTATAATAGAGTTAGTAAGAAATTATAATCACTCGAAGTGGTAAAACTTCTATGTCTTGTCATGATCAAATTCATGTATGATTGTGGGCAAAGAATTGAAAACTCGTCTCATTGATTTGCTTCATTCTCATTCTCATTCCCTTAAAAGAATGTGATAGCAATATGTGATAAGTCTAAAAGAAGACAAAATTATTATCGTGAAGATATCAATGGATATGGATGTGGCAATAGACGAAATTATAATCGCCATCATTGTGATAATGAGAACAATAAGGATTGTCAAAATAATCATTCATTATGTGAAAGTAATATTTGTCGTCAATTTGACATGAGATTTTGTAAAGCACATATCAATGATTATGGTCCATTCATAATGTGAATGTGACAACATGTGATTTATGAATACATATTCATTTTTGGAAGAATATGAGTGTGCTAGTGGTATATACCACACTCACCTCTAGAAGGAGGTTTGAGAGAAAATAAGAAAATAATGTCATTATTATGGCATAAATAGTCATTGACCGCGTACTTATTGTAGACATGTGATTTTTGACCCTCCCCAAGATTTTACATATTTTAGCATATAAATATTTAGTATAGGTCTAATATTGTTATTTCAACTAGCTTTGACTCTTCTACTTTATTTTATCACACAACATGAAAATTACAAAAAATAGTTTCGTTAATATTTTGTAGTCATACTATTTTATTGGGATTCTTATTTTTAGTATAATCTTTGAAAAATACAAAAAATAATTGCTAATTTTATCCCCATTTTGGTACATAAGCTAAGGTTAACTAGTAAGTTTATAGATTTTAACTTCTTAGAAAATAGAAATAATTAAGCTTGGGCTTATTGATTTGTCTCTCTTGAATTTAAGTGCTCATCTAGCCCAATTTTTAGCTAAAATTCGGATAGCCCATTCCCCTTAACCCTAAGCCCCTTCCTATAAATATATAGACAAAGCTAAAGAAAAGGGGAACAAAAATTAAAAAAATAAAAAAACCCTAGCAGCTAGACCCTTAGACCTAATGCCTAAGATCCCTAAGCATCATATTTGTTGTTACACCCACAAGAACCCCACCCCGCCCAAGCGTTACATCATCTTCTTCAGCCGCAAGAACACCAAGAGAACACCCCCTTCATCTTCAATCTCCAGACCTCCACAACAGAACACCCAAAACCAAACCCACTAGCGAACAACCAACAACGCCAACCCTCCTGATTTCGAACAACCGGCAGTGGCCCCAGACAAAATTAAGAAGAAAAGGGGTCGAGAAATTTGGAACGGGGAAGACAGAAACTCGCCGGAAATACCATGAAATCCAGTGGAACTCCATGAAAATCAGTGACCCTCTCTCTTTATAAACGTTGCTCGACCTTATCGATTTTTTGGCTGAAATACGAACAGAGACGGAAAGGAAAGGCTTAAGAAAATCACTGATCCTCTTCTCTCTTTTGGTTCTATTTCTGTGAACAATCAGAAAAGGAATTTTTTTGTTTGAGTCATACTTAGCGACCTCCATTAATGCCGACGAAATCACGTCTTTTTTTTCCTTCGTCGCCGGAATCACTGTTTCTGACGTCTTACACCGTCAAAAGACCCTCCAAGTAACTGATTTTTGTTCTATTATCGTTTGGCATTTTTTTTTTGCCCTTTATTTTTCGAGACCCTGCCGGAGATGTCAGTGTCTGAGGTTGTTGCTTGAAATCCTGTCCGAAAGTTCCATCTATTGGTTCCGGTCGAGGTGCTGTTTGTTGTTCGACGTTTCTAAGTGTGTATTTGCTATTGGATACCTAAGCAGAAAGATATTACCAAGGTCCATTTCTATTTTACCTCCTATTCATATCTAGTTGTGATCATTACGTATTATTTAGATGACCTGGATATGAGTTTTCTTTTAATTGGAATTAGTTGTTTATTTGTGTGGTTTTTGTTCCTATTGTTTTTATGTGCTGGTTCATCATCTTATTAACTACATATTATCATGTTTGTCCTCTCTTGTTTATCGAGAACTTGATAGATTCCTATGATTCTGACTCGGGCTGTTTGCAATTGAAATGCTCATTTACGAAAGATAAAAGTATGAGTTGCATTTGGTCATTTTGTTATGGATTGGATAATAAGATCACAGACTTAGGTCCATAGTGCTCTTCTTTTATATATTCAAGCCTTACAATAATCTTAAACTAGTTTTAGAATAAACATTTTATGAACCTCGTAGTTTGCTTTAAGCGCGACTTAATCAATTATCGTGATTGTGTACACGTTCGCGTGTCATGATTACGATTTTAAAACAAAATCGGAGTATGCATTCGCGCAACTTCGACTAAATTTTCTTAATAATAATAAAGCGTTACTAATTGTGGACATGTCCGCATGACATGATTATATAGGCGCCAAACAAATGTGTACACATACGCGTGACCTGTTTTTCAAGATAGTTTCTTAATAAAAAAAAGGCAAATGTACATAGGTTCTAAGAGTAAGTAATTAGACAATTTGATTAAGCCAAGTATGATCAAAGCGACCGTGCTAGAACTACGGAACTCGAGAATGCCTAACACCTTCTTCCGGGTTAACAAAATTCCTTACTCGGATTTTTGTGTTTGCAGACCATAAATAGAGTCAAACTTCCTCGAATTCGGGATTTTAAACCGGTGACTTGGGACACCATAAATTATCCCAAGTGGCGACTCTGAATTTTAATTTAAATAATCCCGTTTCGATTGTCATTTAAATTGGAAAAAACTCCTTTAATACCCTTCCTGGGATGTAAAAAGGAGGTGTGACAACTCAGACGACTTTATTGGGGATAAAAACCCGGAACTTTTGGTTCAGGGTTCAAGAATTCGAGCTTGTTAATATGATCTATGCTTGGCTTTAGTGTTTGTTGATATTATTGTATTTGTGGACCTAATGCGCTAAATGATGTTTATTTACCGCTTTCATATTACTTGAACTGTATTAAAATGTCTTCCTACGCCTCCCTTCTCAGTCTTCAAAAAAAAATAGGTGCCACGTTCGCGTGAACTAGAAGTTACACCAAATAGAACGAGGTTGGGCCAGCAACAAGGCCGGGTAGACTTTCGTGCTCCCGGTACGTTGCCCCCTCTTCGGCTCGAGTAGTCTGCTCGGGTAAGCCAGGTCTAGAACACAACCCCAGGTTTAGACTTAGAATAACATAACCTCATGCCGAATCCCTAGTAGGCACGTTTGTTTGCACCATGTGCATTTGACTTTAGGGACTCAACACAAGGGTTGGGTCCGTCTAGGACAGGTATAACCAAAAAAATAAAAGACCATTCTGATGCATCATATGTGCTACATGTTGCATTTCTTCAAGGGTAAAAGGTTTATTTGACAGACCCAGTTATGTTTTCTTTCACATTTTTTAGAAGAAAAAGAAAAGAAAAAAACATGAAAAATCTAAAAAAAATTTGCACTTTCACATCATTTTCCAAAAAAAATCAATCAAACAAAAGGAAAAGAAAATCCAAAAAGAGTTTACATGTTTCATCATTTTTCAAAAAAAAAAAAGAAGAGCCAAAAAAATATGTTTTCTCTAAATTAGTTTTTTTTTAATTCTCGACCGTATCCAATCTGCCCGAACTACGCATACCTAATTTTCATCTTTCGGGGCAGGATACGTAGGCAACCCACATACGGTCTGGTCTTCCTAGTAAGAAGTCTTAGGTTCTTGGCTTCACGGGGTCTTAGCCAAATCTTGCATTTTAGCCACTTTTAGCCACATAGGTTAATTTTAGAAAAATAGTCATAAACATGTCTTGCATGTGTCCAACA